AGCTGTGCATGAGAAGAGAACCTCTTGGGTAAATATAATACGTGACACATGCAGGAATCCACGCGTTCAGAGTAGCGAGCAAGCGGTAAGTGGACAGTCGGGCGCACCATCCCTGAAGCGTTCGCCGCACGTACAAGGCCGCTCTGCTCCGCAGAGACGGGGCAAGGGACCACATTTGCGAGAATCTCCACACCTGCGAGAATCTCGACGGTGACGCTCGTCGACGTTAACGCCCATCCATGAATAACCCTACTGTTCCCGTTGTGTGTCCGCCAGGGAAGCGCCAAGACGGGTGGACCATGTCGCGGACGCGAACATTGCGCCTGTTGTTCCATCGTCAGATCGCAGACTCGCTGTGGGCGTCGCTAAGCGAGGCCCAAGAGGGTGCTGTCGAGGAAGCGCCAGAACATCCACATCCGAGTCTTCCACTGCTCTTCCGTAACGAGTCGATAAGCGGGGTGTTAATGGGTCGCCGTGTGCGTCGAGGTGAGGTATTGGCGTGTGGAGCAAAGGACACCGATTGACAGATCTGCTCCCCGCAATCCGCCCCATCGGAATCCGTCGGCCATAGAAAGGATACATGGCAGTCCATGCACGAATGCGACTACCACACATATCCAGGGGTGCTTTGCAACAACACGATGGTTCGGAGTCTGCGGGACTGATCGAGCGACGCATGGGGGGTACACGACCAAAGGCACGGATTGGTCCCAGGCATCCTGGTCCGGAATGGGCGGAAGGATTATATAGCGTAGGCAGCGTAAACATGTGAACATGTCATAGAATTGGCGAGCGTCGGCCACATCTATCCATGCACTCATGTCAGAGGTCGTTCCGCGGTGCTACCGAATACATAAGCTGGCTTGCGTTAAAGGAGAAGGAGAGCGCATGGGTCAGGGCGTACTCGATGAGCTCGGGTCGGACAACGGACACGGGCTGTCCGCGAAGATGCGAAAAAGGGCTGGCGCTAAGGATGCTTGCCTCATCCGCATGTTGGCGCCGGCGGGTGCCCGGGATCGACTTCAGTGTTGCCAGCGCCTCTTCCCTCCCGCAGTATACCCGCAATAACTCGACCGCGTGGGTGCATGACCATAAGTGTCGCGGAAAGCATCGGGGAGGAAGGATGTGGAGCAAAGGGCGGTAGGCTGGAGATCCGAGGCGTGAAGCATGCCCATCTACCGGCGCGTCCCGCACCCGCGCCAGAAACAAGACCGCACGAGCATTGTCCTCCGTCCCGATTGCTATATCAGATCTCGCCCCGTCAAGGGCAAGGAATGAGGCGAGGTAGCACAAGATGTCCCCCGTTACGGCCCCCGCAGGTCTGTCGCAATGAGTCGATACGCGCGCGGGGTGTGGGGTGGAGCCACGGACGAGCAAAGGACGCTATGCGGGAAGGTGGGGGCGCCCGGATTCTTGTCATCCTCTTGCTAAAAGGTGTCCATACGGGCAGAGCGCGCGGCGCTCTTGAAGGCGTAAGGAGCAAGATCGGGGATACACGCCTTGAAGACTACTTCGAGGCGGAGCGCATACTGGCAAAACAGATGAATGAGCAACGCCGCGGCGGAGCATATTACCCACTGCTGCCTCCGCCTCGGTGAACAACGCGGACGTGTAGCACAGGAGGTATGATAATGAGCGCCGAAGAACTGCCCGTCTGACGCGATTCGTAAGCGCCAAACCCAGCGCCAAAAGGGAGCGACCCGGCGACGGAGACGCGCAGGCAGAGGCGCCTGCCTCGACCACGCCGGCGCCGGCGCTCGGGATCGACTTTCGTCTCCATCGTCTGAACTCCTCGATGATCCTCACCGCCACTGGGTGCCTTTTCCCTCCCGCAGTCTACCCGCAATCATGGTCGTAAGTGTCGCGGTGAGCATCGGGGAGGACTGGACGCGCGGCAGGTTGGAGATCCGAGACGTGAAGTGTGTCCATCTGCTTGCGTACATGGCGCGTCCCGCACCCGCGTTAGAAACAAGACCGCGCGAGCCTCGCCCCGTCGACGCAAAGTATGTGGCACAAAATGACCCCCGTCCTGACCCCCCGCAGCTCTGCCGTAACGAATCGCGGGGGGTGGTCGAGGCGGGAGCCACGACGGGGAGCAAGGGGGTAGATGGCTTGCAACGGTCCACCGAGTGCCCGGAGGGTATTGCCTCCCCCATCGCTCCTGCCGCCGCTGTGAAGAAACGGCTATCCAAGCGGACAGAGCGGGTGGCGCTCTTGAGGGCGTGGGGAGCGAGGTCGGGGATGGGCTTGAGGACTCATCTGCGGCATGCTCTGAGGCCGAGCGAGCAACGCCGGGGCGGCGGCGGCGACGACGCGCGCTGCCGTCGAGGAAGAGGCGTACAACGCTGGGAAGGAGACGCTTCTGGCCTTGAGACGAACGCCGGCGGGCAGGCGTTCCGTATGCTTGATACATGAACGGCGTCGATGCTGATGAGAGTGGGCTAAACGCGCGGGAGAGGTGAGGAGCCTTCGCAAAAAGGGAGCAGTGGCACATACCCGTCGATCTCATACTCGCGGTCGCACGGCGAGTCGGGTTTACCATCGACCGCATCTTTCTCCTTGACACGCGGCACCGAATCGACGAGGCGCGTCGGCACTGGCGGCTGGGAATAAAGGGTACGCGTGAGGAAGTGAATGACCTGCAGCAGGCGTCCGCGGTACATAGCGCCGAGACTGCAGGAGAGTCAATCATCTCGCATGGCCTCCCAGTGCCATATCTCCCCCAGCGCTCCCCTCACCGTAATTCGGCGAAGCAGACGCGAAAGCGCGATGGACAAAGCCGGCGGCGCTTCCGAGGCAAGGAGCGAGGTCGGTGATGAGCAGCTTGGAGAATGATCTGCGCTTTGAGGCGGAGCGGATGGCGGTGACGTGGAAGAAGGGGCAACGCGGCGACCTGCTGCTGGTGAGGCGCGCTGCGGTGGAGGTGGACGAGGTGCGCCGCGCGGGCGCGGGAGACGAGTGCGTTGAAGGAAGCGCCGGCCGCCGTTTTTCCATCCATGCAGGCGACAAGCCCGCTCCTCGAAGTGCACGCGACATCAGCGGCTCACGTCGAGAGTGGGCGAGCGAGCACGCGGCAGAGGCGAGGAGGCCGGGGCTGACTCGCGCGGCGGGTCTGAACGAGCGAGGGACAAGACGGCGCTGTCGAGGGGGCAAAGGATGATCCCCTCCCGATGACAGGGGATGTGCGTGAGGACGTCGGCGCGCTGGTCTATCGTTTATTGGGCGTCGGCAACAATAAAGGAGGCTGGCTGCACGCGCACAGCGTCCGATTCCAGCGTCGCCCACTCCCGGCATTGAGCAGACAGAGCATCCGCGGAGGGGCGATGACCAAAGCGGGCGGCGGGCGCTCTTGAGAGCACAGGCAACGACATACGGATGTGCGAATCTGCGGAGTGGATGGGGGGCGCGGGGTGCCAGGGAAGGACGAAATGACCCCAGCGTCGAGACGAGTGCGCTGAAGGAGTATATGCCGTGAGTAAACGGGGGGCATCCATCCGATGTGCTGTTCCTCCACGGTGCGCGGCGGGGGAAGACATTGAGCCGGGTGTAGCAGGCGTCGATGGCTCGATGCCGAAAGGGAGAGCGCTGGTAGGCCCAATGCACTATCGCGCCGTGAAGACGGTACATGCAGCAGTCCCGGGGGCCGCGACAGCTCAAGCCTGGCGCAACGGTGAAGGATCAGGCGGCGGATGTGCGCCCTCGTCGTTTGTGCGAGGGGGATAGTGGCCGACGCGTGATGCGAGTCTGTGGACGCAGAACGTCCGTCAACGTTTGCGTATCCGCTGCGTGGCATGTACCACCGGGTACGAGAAGCGCTGGTCTCGCTCTGTTTGCTACGCGGTCTCGCTCCGCCTTGCTCGATGGGACGGGGATAGCTGTCCGGCGCCGGTGCAGTACATCCACTAAACCAGATTGCGGTCAAAATCCGATCCGAGTGTTTTTCCAGATGTAACTCACGGTACGAGGGAATCCCTGGGTTTGGCACCGAGCAGACACGAGGGATGGATGTAATGTGTGCGCCGTCGACTGCGTGACAGACGCCTGGCGTGCGATATAGCGTTGCGATCCCGCCGGCGTAAAGTTACTGGCGTGAGCTCCAGAGACGATGCAGCACGATGAAGGTACGCATGTAAACCACGACGCAGCAGTATACTGCTTTCGTGGGGTCGCTATTATAGCACACTGAGGACATTTGCGTCAATCCCATTGCCAGGATAATCTCGGTGTGTAGATCGCCTCAATACGGTTTATTCGGAAAGGGGGAATGACTCACACAGAACTAGAATGAGCCTACAACCAGCCTACGCCCTCATTTGCCAGCAGCATGAACGCCGCAAGCACGGCATTACGGGGCCATCATGTGTCGTGCGAGCCGTGCAGAGCGCGGCTACATCGTCTACTTCAGTTCCCGGTCAAGCCATTCTAGCTGTCCAGGATGCGGAGAGCTGAACCCATGCTGAACCACCGCCACTTGGAGGCGACTAAGAGCCGCGAAGAAGGTTGAATGGCTGAATATTGACTGAAGAAGATTTTTTGACGATTCTCCGCTGAGTCTCCTGCTTCGGTTTTGCGGTTGGTGGCAGTTTGGTGGCAGTAGGAGCGGCGGTACCAAGTCAGAGTTCAGATTTCAGCCTTATCTCAACAGACACAGGCGTTCTGCGCCGTCGAGAACATGGATTCTGGTGGGTGTTTGTCGAACGGGATGGCCGGGCCGCGGCGCGATCACATGATCGGCTGATACCGGCGCACGGACCACCCGTCTTTCTCTTCGTGTATCAAGACCTGGAGTACGTCTTCTAAATGTGAAGTACAGGATTGTATTTGGTGCACTACATTAATCAATGTGAAACACCCAGGCCTGACAAGTATGTAGGCGGCCATTCTATCATTGCCTTTTCTATGAAGTTGAAAGCTGGCCGCAAGCAACCTTTCATGGTTCAACTGATCCTCAACCCGGTTTGAGTTGGTGGGTTTACTTACGGTATAGTATCCCTTGAATAGCCTCTGTAGATCATGGCGATTGCCTCAAATTGATGGGAGATATGTGTTGGAGAAATTTATCGGGGAGTTGGAGGTTCGATTCCTCCCAGGGGCGTTCAGTACGTCTAACGTTGGCTTTTTATTGAAACGTTCGACCAGAATCTGGAAGGTAGAAGCATGCGCTCAAGGGGCAGTCCGCCGGAAGCATGGGAGCAAAGGCCAGCCCGACAGGACCAAGTTCAAACCCCCTCAGCCAGTCAGCAGTGCCTCCAAAGGCAATAAAGGCAAGATAAAATAGAGTTGCGTCTTGAACGACAATAATCCAACTCAATCCCACTTTGTAGCTCATCCGGCTTGGAGTGACATACACCTGAGGCCCGGAAGCCTCTGTGGATCGTGGCGATCGCCTCAACCTGGTGAACCACTGTGGTGGAAGAAATTAAGTATGAGGAGGCGGAGGTTCGATTCCTCCCAGAGGCATGGTCGGGATTCATTGACGTTTTATTTAATATTTTCCCCTGTACTTACTCTGGAACATGAGAGTCAAAGGCAGTACAACACAAGTAAGGTTCCCGACGATCTCACCTGTAGAAAAAGACCGGCAAAAGAAAATGGTATTGCTCACGGATGGCATGTTCAATCGATCCTCATGCCAGTTTACATCTGGGAGCTTCGTAGTTTATCCTGAGGTGTAATAGGCCTTGGGAAGCCTCTGTGGATCATGGCGATCGCCTCGGCCTGATGATGTGTGCAGCCTCGATGAGAAGTTGTCGAGGAGACGGAGGTTCAATTCCTTCCAGAGGCATGTCTCGAGCCACTTTGCCTCGATTTTTTGTACGGATCGTCTGTGATTACCCTAGAAGCATAAATCTCAACTTCGATGACCGAAGGTTCGAACTGATTGCAGCGATCATGATGATCGCAAGTTCAACATGGCCCCCAAAAACACCGGCGAAAAAAACGGTTTCGTTTACACAGTCTCCCCATGACTGGAATCCACAGTATGACCTGATGTAACATTTGCCACGGCCATTCTTTTTTGCCGCCACTGTATGCCTCTGTGGATCATGGTACCTGATCGCCTCAATTTTATAGAGAAATGTACAGTAAGCTATCAATCTCATTGAGGAGGAGATAGAGGTTCGATTCCTCCCAGAGGCATGTTCCCGGAGCGTTGCGTTTTTCCATGCAATTATTGTACGAGTATAATCCCAAGGCGCACGTATGGCGGGAATACTGTAAAATAATTATTTTGCTCGAGAAAGTGACACACCCCAAAATACAGACGAAAAAGTGACCAACTATGAACAGGGTTGAAAATTCAGCACACCGCTTGTTGGAAAATGAGGCAAGTTTTCGCGCACTGCCAGAAACTTGTACGCAACATGGCACAGCACATAATTTATTGATCACTGATGGCATTGAACCTACACCGAGGCGATTTGACCTTCCTCGTGAGAATGGTCCACCCACGACCGCAGAGATGGTCGCTTACCCAGTTCATGTTGTACCTGGACTATGTAAATGGACACATTGAAGTAATCATTACTTGCGGGTTGTACCCTGTTGAATACTTGAGGACCCCGGGCCACTCGTCGGATTGCTAGATACCTTGGTTGAAGTACCTATAGCGGGCTTTGTTCAGGGGTGGAGCGAAGGCCGGAATTCTGGTTTTGCAGAGTGCTGGTGGCTCGTGAAAGCTTTGGACGTACCTAAAATCGGGTCAAAGCTAACCTGACAGGACAAAGGCTGCCAGGAAAATATATCCCATTGAAGACCTTTCCTACGTGTGACTGCTGTCAGAGTAACTTGCTAGATTTTCGGTTTACACCTGTTACATTTAGGTTCGCATTTCACTGCTGATTTTTTGTGCTCGAATTGAAACCAGGGTGTCACTTTTTCTCATAAAACCGGGGTGCTACACAAAGTAATTATTTTACAGTATTACACCCATACGCACGCATCCCAATTTCAACCAGATAGCTGCAATTTCAACCAGATAGCTGCCATCCCAATTTCAACCAGATAGCTGCAGCTAAAGTAAAGAGCGACAAAGCAAAAAGTTTCGCTCACTCAGACGGCAGCAGTTCAACTTGATCTTTGACTTGTTGTTTTACTATGGAGTGCAATACGACTGAAGCCTCTGTGGATCATGGCGATCGTCTCGCGATGATGTGTGCGGCCTGGATGAATTACCGCAGAGACGGAGGTTCAGTTCCTTCCAGAGGCATGTCCCAAAAGGCTGCGATTTTTTGTACGAGTCGTCCACGGTTACTTCAGAAGGACCAACTTCAACCCCACTGACTCAATGCCAAACCAGTCTCAGCAAGTAGTATGATCACAACATGGCCCCAAAAAAGATCGGCAAAGGAGACGGCTTTGCTCACAAAGCCAATTACTAATGGTAATGCCATCCTCAATCCAGCATGAGTCGAGGTAAAACATGCCTCTGTGGATCATGGTACCAGATCGCCTCGATTTTATAGAGGGACGTGCATTAGGTAGGCTATCTCATTGAGGGAGTGGAGGTTCGATTCCTCCCAGAGGCATGTTCTTGTAGCGTTGACTTTTTTTTACCCCTCCAATTACTCCACGCAACGGACATATATAGTTTTTCAGACATACATTTCCCTTGAATTGATCCTCAACTCCGTCGGACTTCGTGGTTCATGCTATGTAGAGTGCAGAACGCCTGCAGCCTCTGTGGATCGTGGTGATCGCCTCAACCTGATGCGACGGTCTGGAATTTATCGAGGAGTCGGAGGTTCGATTTCTCCCAGACGCATGAAAGTGGAAGACAGCCTTGCATTTTTCCTTCCGGCCGCAGAAATTACAAAGGGGTCAGCGTGCACTAGGTTGCTCCAACATGATCGAGGTTCAAAACTTCTTTGTAGCCACCTTTATCGACCCGCTCCTCATAGATGCCGTCGCTATGAGACCGCGTCGATTGAGCATCTACCTGATATTCGATGAAGTGAACCGATATCAAGCACTGTTCACCTCTGTCACTCATCTTAACCTTATGGTTAGCGCGGGTCGGCCGCCCTGGCAGCATGTCGATGTGGCTACGCGGCGCGCGCTGGCAGCCATTCTTCGCTCTCCTCCCGGCCCTCACGCATCTGTCCCTGTATCTCGAAGTTCTTCAACTTCCAGTCGTCGAAACTATACTCGTGTTGTGCAAAGATCTCAACATCCTCGTTGCTAGACACCCTCGACCGCCAACGCTCAGCAAGAAGCGTTTCATGTCCATTATGGACGACCGGCTTGTCAACCTGTCGTTGCCAAACCCACGGTGTATCGACGATTGGGTTACCGGAGTCAAGGGAGGAATGCCCACTAACTTTAGTTAGTGGGTCTTGTGGTGCCCTGGCCGAAAAACGCCCCTCGCCACAACTTTTGGCTGTAATGATTCAAAAACTGGAATTTTGATTGATCATCTGATTGTTTTGCTGATTTGCCCGCCAGCGCAAACTTGATGCGTGATCGCATGTACCGTTTACTGATGCCATGTGAAATTGGGGACCCAGGGCCAAGGTCTCGGGTCTGCCATGGAGACGTAGAACAGTCTATCTCAAGTCTCGTTGGAGTCTCGATTCGGCGAGTCGCGGCTCGAGTCGCGTCTCGGTGCATCCACTTCATTTCTTTCGAATATACACGGCTTGTCCGGTTCACTTACATTCTCGCAGCGTTCAATGCAGTTAAATCATACTGTGGAAAAAGCAACAGCCAATCCACTCAAGTCGAATCCACAGTGAAGTAAAAACACCTATTCTTTGCCCCGGCATCACTGAATCCGTGTGAATCCGTGTGATATTGCACGTCCCGCGCAGTAACGGGTTATCAGTTAATTTATACCACTGAGTGATTCGTTGGATTCATCTACAATGAGTAGGACTTTCACTGAAACTCTGCACAATACAATGCGGAAGAAACCCACTATGCTGCAAAAATCAGAGTGAACTCTGAACCGTGAGAGTATTGTCGGCCATCTCGGAGATGGCCAGAAACACCAGAAGTTGCGCTTTTATTTGAAAGGGCGTTTAGGACGGATAATTCAAGCCCAGACACATCCGCATTGAACATAGAAAAGCACCCGTTTTTTAAAATTCTACTGGCGGACTTAACCGCCCTGTGTCGGACCAGTCATTTGGCTCACCCCTACGCACTGTTATCGCCTGGGTTCCTGCCTCACCGGTCGTGTGTTTCCTTCTTCATTGTTTCTCTAGGCCAGACTGCAAGGTTTGTTTACGGTATCGCAATCTGCGGCTATCCAAAATCCGCAAAATATTCTTCCTCGCTGAAAGTGCTGAATCCTCACGATGTTTAGATGCCTTTCACTGTGTATTTATGCAGGATCTCACCTATCTATGTGGTGAACCAAATGTAGTGCAGGTTTCATTCTGATTGCCTTCGCTCGGTGAGGCAATGTTATAATGACAATGGCTGTGATGCAGTTCTCCGATTCCGGCCATTTTGTCCTGACTCTTCGTTTCAACCCCGTATTACGGGGTTGTTTCCCAAATTCATACAGGAGCAAGGGAGGATACAATCGAATTGGAATGCTTTGTTAGGTTTCCAACGTGGGGCTTCAGACTGTTGAACACTCCGCAACATTGATGAATATATGTGTAATACACTTTGTGAGAAAGGGATGAGGTGTCCTCGGGTGTGTATCTACATGCTTGGGACAGTTAGTGGGCTCTGCCGCGACAGCGCGCTACACTTGTTATGGACTTCTGGGCCTGCTCAGAGGCGTTTGTTGCAATGAAACGACGGGGAGAAATCGAGCCGAGTTTGCCTAATCCTCCTTATAATCGTATCTGCGGTGATTCTGATTCAACTTCCAGGCTCCCGCTGTTGGATCGAAGAGGCGGACGGCTTTGGACCTCAGTATTGTATGTAACCTTTACCAGCAACTTCTACCAGCGCAGTATCCATCAGTTAAACTACAAATCTTACCCAAACTTACCAAGTACTTCAGTCAGCCTGAGCCAGTTTCGATGACATGAACAGCAAATCTGCCCAATAGATCGTTGCGGGAAGCGTCTTGGTTGAATTTATCTCCCGTTGCAGTTTATGCCAAGAACTTCAAGTTGAAGGCAGAGCCGGGCCCTTTGGCGATCAACACGCCGGAATAGCTTCTTGTTCCAAATCAAGATGGATTTATTTCTTCCCTCGGGCCTCGTCGCCGCAATCCAACCCGTCTGACCTCGAAGCTGGAGCCTTATCCGTCGCGCACGTGTCTACCCAATCCTGGGATTGAGTCGGACCGACTCGATTGGTACAACTGCATTTTCGTCGCAGAAGCGCCTCCATTCATTCTGGGGATCTGGATGGACCTTGAACAGAAAGATGCAAGATGCAAAACAAGGACACGATCCGGCTCAGAAAGATCTGATTACCAGTCCGGACCAACCGAGGTCTTGATACAGTCACACACAATACTGGGACCCGAGGCCGTCCACCTGTTCAATCCAACACCGCGAACCTGGAAGTTCAATCAGAATCCACACAAATGAAAAGAGGTTCAGACAAACTGGGCTCAATTTCTCCGCGCCGTTTCTTTGCGATGAACGCCTCTGCGCAGGCCCAAAAGTCCATCCCTCCCTTGGCACCGGTAATCCAATCCTCTTCGCAGGCTAGATTCGGTAACAACACGTTGACAAGCCGGTCGTCGTCGAAGAGCAAGTGAAGCTCCTTGTTGAGCGTCGGCGGTCGAGGGTGTCTGGCGACGAGCATGCTGATATTTGCGCACAAGGCCAGTACACTTGGGACCACTGAAAATTCCTGCGCTTCGAGATACAGGGACAAATGCGTGAGGGCTGGGAGGAGAGCGAAAAATCGCTGCCAATTGGCAACATCATCGGCATGCCGCCACGGCCGGCGACTCGTGCTGAGCATCACGTTTAGATGGGTGACGAAGGTGAACAGTGCCGGATAATAGTCCACGTCATCAAATATCAGGTAGATGCTCAACCGACTCGGTCTCATAGTGTTGAGATCCGATTGAAACATCGGGTCGATAGATGTGGCGCAGAAGATGGTTTGAATCTCGCTGCAAGTGGAGAGGATATTTCGGAAGTCTCTGTCCAAACGAAAAGGAAGGCCCAAGTGTCGAACACGGTCGCGGAAAAAAGAGGGAGGGTGTGAATTTGTCTGGATCGCTCGTGTGAGAGCGAGGGTTGAAAGCGTAAAGTGGGTTCCATCTGGAGTGGCAATCCTGTATCTGATTCTTGCGATCCTAGGCAAAGCTGAGACCTGGAGTCAAGAACTTGGAGGACTTCGGGGCGAGCTCACCATTCGTGCACGCGCTGTGCAACGAGGAGGAGACGAGCCATAGTTTCTGGATGCAAATGTGCGGCCATTTCAAAGATTTCTCGCTCTAGTTCCAAAGGAAAGAATGGAGCAGGACCGGGCCCCATTGTGGTGTCGGACAAGCAACGGACAAGCAGAAGAAGTACGGTTACATAATGCGGAACACTCCGGGCATGTAGTAGGCGTGATCCGTCCGAGGCGAACACTTAACTGGGGTGCGAACTGGCACGAAGCACTTCACAACCTTTCGCCGCAACCTACTGTGCTATCTCGCTCACCTCGTTCGTCACGCGGCACACCGAACATTCTCATTGCGGCTATAATTTTTTCTTCATGCGCACACTGCATACTTACTTGATACTTATCGGAAATCTTTGGTCCAAAAAAGTCTGCCAGGGTCATGACGAATTGATTGAACGAAATAGTACAGTAATTGAGATGAGTTTGCAGAGCGAAAGAGAGTTCGTGAATTCCACGGCGCCGTCAATGGTATCCGGGCCATATCTTTCTGATCGCACTTTACAACTCAACTTTGACTCGCCTCGAGTCCAGCTCGAGTCTCGTCCAACGTGGGCGTGGCGTTTTGCCTGACGTACTAAGTACTTGCGCAAGCCACGGCCATATAAAAACTCAAAGTACAAGACCTCACTACTACAATCCTCGCCTCGATCCGCGATGCAATCCACCTTTCTCTTCAGCTCCGCGGCCAGGGTTTTTAGTTTGCACCTCCCGCTGCCCAATTTTGGGAAGCTTTGCCCAAATTTTCGTCATCATAAGTTGCTGTCTGATAGGTTTGTTGCACCATATCCTCGGGTGAGTAGAATATATTCAACTCACACCTTCATAGACCACAGTCAGATAGAAGACGGATGCCATAAAAAAGACACGTAGTACTCAATATCTTCGATGGAAGACCCAATCATCCATGACTTCTGACGCATCCACTCCATCCAACAGAAGAACGTCCAATCCCTCTTCGCGAAGCGCTTTGAGCTCGGTCAACGCTGGGTCGGAATCAAAAGCCCCCTCTGTGAGGAGCGCGATCTTCTTGAGGTCACAATGTACTGTCATCATGCGAGATTCCACCATGCGCAGAAGAGCAGGATAATCTATGTTTGCCAACGAGGACTCCCATCCAAAACATAAAGAGCAGAGTTGCGGAGCCACAATCGTCACGCCAGAAACGGTGAGCTTCCGGACCAAAACATCGTCACCGACGTCTTCGTCGAACCCG